CCCCCCAAAAAACAATTTATTAGGATATATTGTTAAGTCAAATACAAGTTATATTAATAGTTATTATACATCCTTTTTCTTATCCCTCTCCCCCCCTTGGCTTCCCACAGTGCTCCAAACCTCCAGCCCATTTCTTGAATTTTCTTCTATTTTCCCTTATCTTTTAATCATCATCTACCGGTAACCTTTCTTTCACCTATTGTTTTCTTATAGTTATCTATTTTCTAATAACACACACTTTTCAATAACTGTCAAAGCAAATTAAATTGTCCTTTACATCCCAATACTTCTCTAAATAATCTTTAAAATCTTTCCAGTCTGTATAGAATTCTTCTGCCTCCAGATTCTTAAGTTTCCTTGTCATTTTGTCCATTTCAACCATAAACAATAGTTTCCTTATCCAGTCCCCAATTTCTGGGATTCTGTCCTGCTTCCAACATTGAGCATAAGTCATTCTGGCCGTTGTAATCAGTAAGAGTACAAATTTAAAAAAACACACACTGGGAAAAAGGCGTGTGAGAGAGAATAAAACCAACACCGTTTTGGCAGCGGCCACCAAAACAATGTTATTTTCACCTGCACAGCCAGTCTGATCTCCAGTGGCCAATGAGAAGCCCCGCTGGGCAAGAGCCCCACTTGGCCCCACCCACTTCCTGAAAATGCTCAGAGGGTGCCAGGAAAGATGCCAGCGGGTGCCATAGCACCGCCGAGCACCGCATTGGGGACCCCTACACTAGATAAACAGAATTACTCTGTCGGCAAAATGAGCATCCCTCTCCAGTAGCATGTGCACAGGCAGTGTGTGTAACACATGGCGCCTTAGTGTTCCTGCCACATTGCCGTCACGTGTACATGGGTATGAAGGTTATGGCTTGGCGCTGGCCCACTCATTTCCTGGCTGTAGGAACAGAACCTAAATATACTGCACTGCCCACTTTAAATGTTCTAAATTGGTTTTATTGTATTGATTTAATATCGGTATTTATTGTCTAATTGACTTATTTAAAGATTGCATTAAATTTATTGTTGTGAGA